AAACATAATCTCAAGTCTAAATCCCTATCTCTTTCAAGGTAAAAGACAAAGTTCTTAGCGGTGTTCACAAGACCCTGTGAATAGCCTTGGCTCCTCATTTCCTCTCAGATTACATCTACTGCTGTCCCCCTCAGTCCCTCTGCTGTCCCCCTCAGTCCCTCTGCTCTAGCTACACTGGCCTTCTTGCTTTGCCTTGGACATGATATGTACACCTTACCTCAGGAGCTTTGCGCTTGCTCTTCTCACAGCCTAAAATATCGACATGGCTTGCTCCCTCACCTTGTTCAGGACTTTGTTCATATGTTATCACTTTAAGTAATGCTTTTCCAGACCTGACACCTTCTTTAAAATCAGAGCCACCCACTTCCTGCCATTCCTATTCTTCTTCCCACATTTATTTTTCTTCAAAGCCGTTACCATGTAACTACTAGATGTGCTTTTTAATATTTTCTAATTGTGTATCTCTTCTCATTAAAATATAAACTCCATGAAGGAAGTTTTCTTCAGTTGATGCCTTGTACAGTGCCTGGAACATAGTAGATGCTCCACAAATATTAGTAGAATAAATACATAAATAAAGATGCTGTTGATTTTTTCTGATAGTAACATTATAGATATTATTAACCTTTTGTATGTCTTACCATAGGTACAAATGATACGGATAGAGATTTATATTATACATTGACCTAATTATATTTTTGTTATTTAACATTGCAAGAATTTTTCTTTTCTTCGGTAATTGGTACTTACAAATAAGCAGAGAGCCCCAATTTATAATTTAGCTTATTTCAGTCACTGGAAGAAGTTAATCTTTGGAAATATTTTCCCTTGAGATTATGGAGATCTCTTATGACAATGCTTTGCCAGTATCATGGTCTCCTGGTTAGTTTTAACATATTGTTGTTGTTGTTGGTTGCCAATGAGTCAGTTCTGACTCATAGCAAACCCATGTGTGCAGAGTTGAACTGCTCCGTAGGGTTTTCAAGGCTGTGAGGTTTTAAAGGCAGATAGCCAGGCCTGTCTTCTGGGGCACCTCTGGGTAAATTTGAACTGCCAAGACTGGTAAGAGGCCAAAACTGGGCCATGTGATGGGGAGGAGAAGGGGCTGGCCTGTTGATCTATGCCTAATAGCCGTTTGTCTTGTTTTAGATACATATCAAACAAGCTTTATATTATAAAACTACAGCACTGTGATGTTTTAAGATGTTAAATCAGCCCTAGGGTTCAGCATAGGGTTAGGATTCTGTCACAAAGTTCTTGTAGTCTGCTTATGGAAGGCATGGTGATTTCCATGCTTTATCATCAGCTTTGACAAGTAAATGCACTATTTTGCTCTGGGCAAAAGAGAGAAAGTGAGAGTAAAAGCAGGCTTGAGAGCTAAGAGGATTGTCTTCTGGATACATCTCGGTAAAAGGTAATTTGATAGGTGTGGAGGTGATAAAAACAATGCAATAATTCGGCAACTATTTTCAATAAATATCTAAAGTTTTTGGTAAAATATTTCTGAAAATACCATCAAGTGCTAAACTGCCACTCATTCCCCTATTCACCTACTGTCTTCAGAATTTGTCTCTATTTTTTGTTTTTATTTTTTTGCACTTGACCTTTACTTTCAACTGCAGATCTGCCAGTGAAGTTGTGTTCTCAGTCCAAATAATTTTTTTCCTGAGATAGTCCTGATTTGTTTAGGCTTTCCTGTCTCAAAAAATGGAGCACCCCTGACCAGCTCAAAGTTCCAGAGACCAGGTACACACACCTGAACTTCTCAGAGGGTTCCTGGACAAACAGAGTGGAAGTTCCCATGGACAACTCAGGTCTCAAAGATTATAAAAAATGCAACCTGAAGTCTTATTAAAGTCTGTCTTCTTGTCTTTTATGGCAGAACAAAAGGAAGTTTTCTTAAAGGAAGAGTGAAAGAAGGAGAGAGAGAGAAACCAACTATGTGTTAAGGTGGTAGAAATTGGTCAAATATAGCATGGTTTTTGGCATTAGAAAAAAATGAATTAAAATCCTACCTTTGCCTCGGACTAGAGGGTTTTATGGGTTTATAGCCTGCCAACACCAAAAAAAAAACCCCAAACCTGTTGTGGTCAATTCCGACGCATAGCGACCCTATAGGACACAGGAGAACTGCCCCATAGGGTTTCCCAGGAGTGGCTGATGGATTTGAACTGTGGACCTTTTGGTTAGCAGCTGAACACTTAAAGAGCCAATCATTTCTTTCAATGATTTTAATCATACTAGCCCACATCTTCCAGATGAAAACTTCAGTCATCCTCGACTCCCACATCTCCATCCTTAGGCATGCGGTCTTTGAGACATGCGGTCTATGCTTCATTTGAGCTATTTTGAATAGCTGTTTTTCATGTATGCCAGTCCTCTTCAGAGGTAGGTTGTAAGCTTCTTAGGGGGCAAGAAACATATGTTCCCTTCATGTGTCCCTCAAGATATCACATACAGATAGATGTATGGGGCGAGTCCTTTATAGATGTTTTTTTGAAAAGTCTCAACCTTGTATGTAAATACTATACAATGTATATTATTCCTTTGTCTTAATTTCTATATTCTCCTGTTGAAAAAACATATTTTCCCAGCTGAAATTATTTGTATTATGTTCACTTTTTTGGATCCAGTTCACGTTTCTTCATCTCATAATTTGTAATGGCTCCTAACAAACACTATTTTAATATATATCTAATCAATTATATAGTCAATAGAAGGAGCATCTCGTTTTCTGTTTCTAGTTCTCTTAAAATAAAATAACTTTTTTAAAAGAAATATATTGTGGTGAAAATGTATGTAACAAAACACACGGCATCTCCACAATTTCTACACTGACAAAGCAGTGACATTGATGACATTCTTCAAGTTGTGCACCTATTCTTGCTATCCTTTTCCAAATCATTCCACAACCATGAACGTAAACTCAATGCCACCTACGCAAAAACTCCCCTTTCACTCTCCTTTCACCTCTGGTAACCACTAATAATCTGTGGTTTCTGTATATGTGTGTATTTCACACATGTAAGATCACATAGTATTTGTCTGTTTATAACTAACTTATTTTGTTCAGTAGGTTGTTTTCAAGGTTCATCCATATAGTAACATGCATCAGGACTTCAATTCTCTTTCAGGGCTGTGTAGTATTCCATTGTGTCTATATTCCATATTTTGGTTATCCATCCATTTGTTGATGGACAATTTGGTTGTTTCCACCTTTTGGCTATTGTGAAAAGTGCTGCAATGAACTTTGGTGTACAGGTTTCTGTTTGCATTCCTGCCTTCACTTAAGTGTACTCCAAAGTTAAAACTTATATTACAAAAATAAGAGAAAATATTATATCAGTGAAAAGTTTTTAAAAGCTGAAAATAGAAGTAACATCTTGCAGAATTTCAGAGCAACTTTTCTTGGTGCAGACAAGGCTGATTCTTGTCCCGTTCAGATTAAATTCACAGAAAAGAATAAACGATGTTGGAATCTGTGATTATTTTAGAAAAGAGGCTTATTGTCTTCTCAGGTGGGAGATGTCTGAGAAATATTAACTCATTGGTCTCTACAAGGAAGGTATTACCTCTATAGGCTAACTCTTGTACAAGTTTTACAAAATGATTCACAAACCAATCACGGCACACTTCGAAACAAAGTGCTTTCTGTGAATCCCTGGTGAAAATAAGGGTGTGGCTTTGCTATTATAAAAGAGCAGAAGGAATGAAGACGATTAGTAAAAAGGGAAAGACAGCTAGAAAATACATGCAGGGATCTTATCCTTCATCCATGAAACTGCCCAGTCTTTGGGTGCTCACAGTGTGTGATGCAGAGGTTTATAGAGAAATCAAGCATACAGCAAGAAAAAAAGAAAACCAAAAAGACCATAAACAATACAAATTAATCAAAAGTTGCAACTTGTTGCAATGCCTCAGTATGAGAAATAGCTAGCTGGTACTCTCGTCTATAAAAGTCTGAAAGTGAAAGTGGTCCTCTTTTAAGTTTTGCAAACTCTATGAAGTGATGACAGCTTCCTGCAGACTGGCCTTTAGCAGATCAGATTTCAGCAGCTCATTCAGCTACAAGAGCCAGGTTCTCATCCTATGTAACAGTGGAGGGTTTCCCTGGGCAAGAGCCCATATGGCAAGTTTTACTGTACAAAGAACTCTAACCTCCCCATTGACACTTCAGGCAACCAGAGACCAGCAGCTCTAATGTAAGCTTAATTCAGAATATATCAACTTTTTCACAATTACAAGCCATTATTTTTATTATAAATTCAGTGATGCACTAATGCTTAACCTCCCTGCTATTAAAGCTTAAAATTATCTGGCAGTAACAAGTCTACAAATGATAATTTGCAACATAGACCTACCACCAGTTTTGGAATTTTTCTCGTATAACCCAATTTCTTCAGAGAAATCTCAAATTTCAGTAGGTTAAATCTCAAATTTAAGCCAATATTCCATAATTAAAAAAAAGAGTTTTGTATTTCTCTTATATGATAACTAAGAAAAACATATTTGGGAAGAAAATACTTGAGATTCAATTCAGTGAAATGCATGCTTCCTCCTCAGGGTCAAATAAGTAACTAAAGCATGACAGAGAGGAAAGGAGGAAGGGAGGGAAGGAAGGAAGGAGGAAAGAAAGAAGGAGAAAATGAAAAAAGAAAGAAAGAAAAGAAAGGAAGGAAGAAAGGAAGAAAAAGAAAGAAGGGTAAAAATGTCAGAGAAAATATATTTTGCCCGTCTGAGTTATATCTTTCAAGACCCTCATGCTGTTTCCCTGCTTCTAAAATTATTCAGGATCGCCATCCAGAGTTAATGAACTGTATTAACTGCAGAGACCACCATCATCATGCCAGGGCCAGAGACTCAAACAGTAACAATAGTTCAAAACTGCTAGTGAAGCCTGTTTTGGAAATTGTAACTCGCAGGCAAGAGTCAGCATTTTGGAGCAAATCCTCCGAGATACTCAGTCTTCCTGTTGAAACTTCATCTTTCCCTTTTGCCTTTGGGTCATTTCCAAACAGCAGGGCACCAGACATGCTCTACCTTATGAGGAGTCATGCGCACCTACAAAAGGATGGAGTTTCACTATCGGCTCAAAGCATTTTTACCTCTGAGACTTTACAGTAAGTCAGGACCTTGCAGTAATATGATCATTTGTTGTTTTAGAATGTTAATCACTCCATTGAGTTACTGACTTATTTTAAAGAAAAAATAGAAATCACATTAAGATAAATTAACCTGTGTTTCCTATGTCATGTCATGAGTTAAAAAATTAATTATCTAGTACTTTGCTAATTCTCTTCTAACAGTTCATGGTTCATGCTTAGGGATGAAGTCAGCAATACAGTTTTTCTGAAATATCTCCAATTCTGGCTTTCCCATATTGACTTCCCTTTGTGAACTTTGTGCAAATCACTAAAAGTTTTTGCCTTAGATGTCTGAGTTACTATAGTATTGTCATTATTCTTTTTACAAATATGGAGGTGGAAGCCTTCAGTGTTTTAAAATAAAGCTTACAACTGTAGTCATGGCACCTAGTGAGAATGGGAAAAGTCAGGCAGTTTTCTCCACTTGTTGGTTTTGCCCTACTCGCTCGCCCTGCCCATTCTTCTAAGTTGAAGAATAAATAATAACAGCATTAATCCGCGGGACTTGGAAGGGAGGTGGGATTTTGAGCTCACTTTATCTTCAGACTGTCGCAAAGACAGTTGTTGAGACTGCTGCACAGTCAGCAGGACAAGCTGCTGTTATTATTGCCCACGATCAGGGCTTACACTCCGAACAGTGTGGGGTTTTTTGTTTAGTTTTGTTCCTTCAAAACTGAGAACTGGTACCCTTTCTCTGGTAGATGTGAGAAGAAAGAGCTGGGAGATGAACACTGAACTAGTAAAAAGAAGAAAGTAACTTACTGTCAACCATAAAAGCTTTGTCCACAATGCATCTTTTTCTCTTACCACTAAAGAAAAGAGTCTTCATTCTACTCCCAAAGTGGAGTGTATGGATCAGTCATTTCTGACTTAAACTGAGATTTAGGCTTCTGGATTAGGAGGGTAGATGATGATGTTGTTGTTGTGTGCTGTCAATATTGCTGTGCTAATCATGGCTGTCTCAAGTTGAAACATGTATTAAGATTCTAAAGAAATTACATGTGTCTTCAGCTGGAAATATATTCATTAAGGGTCTCTTCGGTGCAAAGCTAGATGTTTGGAGGTTTAGAATATGATCGGGGGATATATTCTTAACACTAAGTAACTTAACAATAAAAAAAATTCTGATTTACTTCATAGATTGCAAGATAAAATTGATAATTTTAAAAGTCACTAAGTGAATTAAGAAATAAACTGCAGCAAATATGCTAAATATGATGGTTGTGAAAATAATTCCTTTACATTTACGATGCAGAATAGTTTAACCGTATTTTAGTTTTTCCATGAAATCTATACCAACTAATTGTTCAAGAACTGTCAGGGTATATAACATCAAACCTGTTTTACCATTACTCCATGTCCAAAATCTGTTAAATAATTGTTATAATGGTTTACTCTCTAATGCTTGTGTAAGACTCAAACTCAATATCTATTATAGATAGCTGCCTACTTGAATATCAAAATACAGACTTTATTACCAGACTAATTGGGTATCTACATCAAATACTCACATATACTTCACTCTAAGTGGTTCTGCAAAGTATCTTAAACGTGTGTATGGTTACAAATTTGAAAACCTCTGATTCCTTTTGGTCTATCATGCTGAAAACTAGACATAGTCCTTTGATTTTTTTGGAAATCAAAAGGCAGTCAAAAAAGGCAATAGAATGATGCAACAGATAATCTCTTAAAAATTTCACATTGTTCTTTTCATTCATGTATTTTTGAACAATGAATCATGATTTTCCTTCTCAAGAACATGGCCAAATTCTCAGAGAGATAAGAATACAATGTCTTTATGTTCATCTAGATTCATGAAAGAAATTGCATCACAGTTTTCTGAACTTTCTTGAAGACAAGATTTCTGAAACTTACCAACATGTTCAATAAAAAATGAGTTGAGGATTCTTTTACTCCCTACTGAGAATTCCAAATTGTTTCATCCGGTGACTCCTTTGGTAAATCATTAATATCTTCAGGAGTCCTGTAAAGTTTGAGAGTTCTGAGCCAGCCCACAAACTTATTTCAAGAAGATAGGACATATAATTTGATAATGCTTTTCTTGATTGCTTGAGTTTAAAAATAAAATTATATTTCTCTTTCATTTTAATCTGATCTACAGAAACAAATTGAGAGATGCCACAATTTCAAAAATGTTGAATATTAATCATGTTGTTAGTTTATTATAGTGATTGTATATTTCTGAATACTTTCATATTTTCTGAAAAAGTAAGTTAATAATAAAAAAAGTTTTTCTTTCTCCCCCCAAAAATTCTGTTGTGTTTAGGGTACAGGGAACAGATAAATACCCAACTGAAACATACCATCTGTTTATTTATTTATTTTTATTCCCCCTACTCAGGGACTTTTTAAGGTTTTAAAACTTAAATGTTAAACTTAACGTTAAATATACTAAATAATTGCAAACTTCTCTAGTAAATCAAAAATAAAATATAAAACTTTTCTTCTTTTGAATCTAGAGAAAATATGCAATACAGAAAATAGAGAAAAAGATCTTAATAGCCATAGTTCCTTTCCCTTTAAATCCTCTTTTTATAATAGCGTTTTGTGAGTTGTGCCATCAATTAATTCATCTGAATGCACTTTTCCTCCGTCTTCTACAGAAATGAAATCTTAAAACCTTGTCTTATGCACAGCTTCTAAGTTTACTTTGAAATTAGTTAGAAGAAAAGCACATCAGAAAAATAGACATCCAGGCCAACAAGTGCTAATTTTAGCCTATTTCTGGCACTCAAATGCATCAGTCCAATTTCCCTCATCCTTAGTATTCTGCCTAGTACATTCAGTTATTCTCCTAATTATCTCCTTGACAGTTTTCAATCTAAGTCAGTTTCTGAAAGTGAAACCTGGAAGCCAACTGCATCAGAATCACCTGGAGTTAACTGTAACTCCTAGGCCCCATCTAAACTACAGAACCAGCATTTCCAGGACTGCATCCTGAAACCTGCATGTTTTGCAGGCTCTTGCGTAGTTCAGAACTACTGATCTAATCCATTTCAGTCCACCCATATCCAGTTGGTCGATCTTATACCAACCAGTAACCAGTTGCTGCCAAGTCTAAATGGTGACCCTATAGGAGTCAGAGTAGAACTGTGATCCTTAGGGTTTTTAATGGTTGATTTGTCAGAAGTAGATCTCCAGACCTTTCTTCTGAGGCACCTTTGGGACGCAAACTATCAACCTTTGGGTTAGCAGCTGACTGTGTTAACTGTTTTCACCACCCAGGGACTCTGATCTAATATTAGACTAATTGGTTGTGCTTGTTGAAACTGCTACCACAAAGACATCAAGGGAACGATGGTAAATAGTGAATAAAGATGTGACTTATTCCATTCCTCTTTTCAGTACCAGTAACCAGTTTTGCATCAAAGCAAACCTGAATACTATGAACCACATCCTTGAATTGCTTACTATTTTAATTTATTTTACATTTTTTTGCAGAATTGAGCAAATAGACCACTTGGAAACCCAGCGTTCTTTTCCCCATCCTCCATCCAGAACTGCAGGTTTGTGGATAATCTTTGAGTCACTAAAGACATGTTGTATGTGTGGGTGGTTTTTTCTTTTTCTTTTTTTTCCCAGAGACTAGTAAAATCACACTGGCTCCAGAGTTTCACCCTCATGCCCTAGCAATAGAGGTCATCAGTAGCATGGAGTCACTCTTGGATATCTCCCAATCAGAAACAAATAACAGAGACTCCTTTGGGAATCCATTGAGACCATTACAAACCTTCCAATGAACAGTTAAGCTTTGTAGTGTGCCTCCTTGAGAAACAGCTGTTTGTCTAACCTTTGAACTGACCGATACATTAATCTGAAGCATAATTTAGTTCTGTCTGAGCTTCTGGGTATGGCATGAATAGCTGGCTTGCTTACCCTTGACCAGTCTCCAAAATAATACTTTTTGTACTTATTTAAAAATAGTCACTTTTCCTCTTCCCAATTTAATTATGTATGATGATTTGATAAGGGGATGCAAGAGCTGGTATACAGTTCCTATGCTCTTATTCTGATAACTTTACCGTTATCTATCCTTGATCCTGCTGTTAGTTACTGATATTCATCAGAATAAGTAAAACAGCTACTGTCATCTTTGGAGCCTCTTTTCACACCAAAGAGGAGGTTGCACTCAGGACTTTGCTCCCATGAGGAGAGGTTAAGAGGAGGGGCACATATGTACAAGCTCCTGCGTTGTGAAGTGGTGCAGTTGTCAAATATCACTGTAACGTTCTACAGGAAAGCCTTATTTTGAAGCAGCCTCCTGCAGAGTCTACTTTTGCGAGTTAGAGGAGGTTTAGAGTATACTAAACCATCTGATTTTGTAATTCCTTTATTAGAACTAGATTCCTATCAATTCATGGGAAAGAATGAGAGAGTAACCCTAGAAACTTTCAAGATACTTGAGCAACAAGTGTGTAACTGAAAGAACACAATCTGATTCTTCTATGATTTGAGGCTAAGGAAATTATAAAATCAGAGAAAAAACAGAGTTTATTACTTGAAATACTTTTCAGTTAAAGAGAAAATGATAAAAAAGTATTGTATGTTACTTAGAAGCCTTAGACATGTAATGGCCTCAAGGAGTTATGAGTAAAAATAAAACAAAAGAAGCAAGAAAACTCCAATATCCATTCTCACAACAGTCAAGTAACTAATTCATAAGCACACAAGAAGCCATAGACTATTACAGGCTAATGGAAAGATCAGGGGGTTTAGATTTGGGAGATCTGGAGAATAAGGGCTCTTGAGCAGCTTGCCCAGTCTGAATCACAACTCCTCTTCTCACTGACTGGAGCCACAAGGACACAGGGACATTTCTCATCCTCTCCATACCTTCGACGCACCCTCCATAAAACAAGAATGATAGATTCACATGTTTTATAAGATTATTGTGAGTTTTAAAAGAGGTAACATATATAAAGAGACTGGCATAGAGCAAGTCTCAACAAATATTAGCTGATTCCCTTCATTCTCCAATTGCATGGCTTTGGGTAAGACAGTCCATATTTCTGGAAATTAGTTCTTTCACATATAAAATTAGGTGAAGGGACTAGATAGTATCCAAAATAATTTGCAGCAATAAAATGTAAATGAATCTCCAAGAAATATTTAAGTGTTCACACATCTACTAGTTAATATTTATTATGATAATAGGAATCACCAACATTTTCATAGCATTTATTGGTTTATACAACACTGTCTCACACTTTGTTTTTATTCTTACAAGAGTCCTTTGATAGAGGTATTATTATATTCCATTTTGCAGATGTGAAAGCTAAGGCTTACAAAGTTGAAGATGAGTTGCTCAAGGTTAAGAAACTTTTGCAAGTGAGGTTGTATCCATATTTTTATTTTTAAAATAAAATCAACAACTTTTGTTTTATTTCTGGGTGGCTATATTACAAAAGGAGCCCTGGTGGCACAGTGGTTAAGAGCTCAGCTACTAACCAAAAGGTCAGCAGTTTAAATCCACCAGCTACTGCTTGGAAACCGTATAGGGCAGTTCTAGTCTGTCCTATAGGGTCTCTATGAGTCTGAATTGACTGCATGGCAGTGGTTTTTTTTTTTTTTTTTTTTTGGTATATTACAAAAATATATTTAAAATAGGCACACACCAAACTCATATGCAAGGAAAATCTAATTTTCTGTTCTAGCTGCCGTGTGAGGTAAAACACAAACAAGCAAAAATGTTCCCTGTATTCATGTGGCCTATTGTTTCTGTCCTCAGTTTCCTCATACTTGAAATAAGGTGGTAATGCTAGATAGTTCTAAGATCCTATCTAGCTCTAATGGTCTAAGTCTTATTGCTGTCCTCTTAAAGCATACCTTTCTCTTACCATGAGCCTCACTTGCAGCTTAACCTTTGTGCTTTCTTCTTTAATGAGTTATGTCCATTCAAGCAGATTATGTGTACTAACAAGCCATATTAGTCCCTTCTCGGGAATTGGATGAAAGGACTATAAGATCCGCAAAGAATCAAACAGAGACTGCCTGGAGGAGGACTTACCACCTGTTCAGTCAAATAGCTTCATGTATCAAGGTGCTCTCATTTGTCTAATTGCCATTTTTTTCAGCTGTGCAATTATCACGGTACTTTTTTCTTTTTTTCCTGTAAAGAAAGCTGGTTTAATAGCTGAGGCATTATTAAACCTCTTTCCCTAGAATATGAGGCTTTCGTTACTTTTGGCAGGATGTTTGAAGAGTCTTTTTCTGGGAACTCTGATGGTGAAGCACCTTGAAAGTAACGCAAGTAATGGAAGAGAGATGAACCTCCAGGCTTTACCTGTGGAACTGTTGCTTCAAAATTACAAGGAGAAATAAGACAGCTAAGATAAGGATGCTACTATCTGATCCAACGGGGTTGCACACACAAGACACACAGCATTGGCAATTGAAAGCCATTAGTATAATTTATAGAAGCGAAAGAGTAAAAAACAATAAGAGATTACTTATAGAAAGCTAACAGTAAACCACAGGAACAGATTGGAGGTGCACTGATCCCCTCCACTCCTACAAGTACCCCACTTACCATCGTCAGGGAGGAACCCACTTACGTCTAAAAGGGGACCTGCTCGCCTTTCTCAAATTACCATGTCCATTCTGGTGTCACCGGGTGGGCACGCCATGGACCAGGTGCCAGCAGTTCTCCCTCGCTCTCTCTCAATAAGTACGCTGTCAGGACAGGTTGGGCATGACATGGTTGTTTGTTCTCATTCTCTCACTCTGGCTCTCTCCATGGCTTTTCTCGGCTGGCTCTGGCCCCCTATGCTTACTGATGCTCTCAGCCAGCAGTTTTTAGACAACCCAAGGCAAGTGCCAGGGTTAGGCCAGCATTACAACAGCTTTTAAGACAAAACTTCTACAGGCAACTCCTGTACGGTGTATACCTAAGCCTCTGAGGGCCTCCTCTTCACCCTCAGGACTGTCCCCCACTTGGCATTAAGGTTATAGCTTTCAGTAGAGTTGGGGCATATGCCACTGCCAAGGAGAGACCAGCTTGGCCCCATGCTCCTGCTTGCTCTGCTCTATTGTCCACCTGCATGGGCCTGGTTGCTTCCCCTGTTGGCACCCAGCTCCATTGACAACCTCCTGCCCTCAGGTACCCAGCTCTGTTGGTGACCTCCTATCCAGAGGTGCCCAGCTCTGCTCTGAGGGGCAACTCTGCCCACCGCCACAATCTGCCAGTCTTGGTCTTGTGGTTCCTGCTGCTCATACTGCTGCCACTGTTTCTCTGTCGCATGGCTCTACTATGCTTGCCGCTGTTTTTCTCAGTCTTCAGTGTTATCAGCTCAGTGAGTGTTACCAGCTCTGTGTCACAGCCCTTGACCTCTATTACAGCTCTTTTAGGAAGTTCTCAGCACAGGGACCCATGTCTAAATTACGTACACCCCTCCTGCCTCTCATGGATCAGGAAGACACATCTGAGCCTCCCCATTTTGGGGTTTTTATCAGTCACTGGGAGGGTTCCACTGTCAATCCTGGTAAAAGTCAGACCAGGCAGGGTCTCCCCAGCGAATCCAGGTAAAGGTCAGACTGGGGGAGGGCCAGCCAATCCTGCTAAAGGTCAACTACTTGGGCTCCCCCCTACCCCAGCCAATCTATGTAAAGGTCTATGTCTATGAAGGAATGCAAACTGACCAGTCCCTTGCAAGGTGCTATGAGAATAGCAAATTGACCAATCCTTTAGCAGATTTTGGCTCGACCAATCGTCTTAGGAGAATTACGAATTCAGGGCCACAAAGGGCACATAGAAGAAAACCCATTACACCACATCTCCAGTCAGAGAGCTAGTATTTCCTGTGGGATATCCAGCTTCAGGATATATAAACCTAAACAATCAGCAACAAAATTCTGTGAAGTCTTGAAATCAGTGACGTGTAAGTTTTTGCATACCCTAAACTTCGGGGTGAAAATTAAAAAAACAAAAACCAACCCTATTTTTTTTAAATATAGAATCTGTTCTTCTTTCCTCTCTTTTACTTTGAAATTTCATTTTCACCCTGTTCTTGCCAGGTGTGTGTTGGTTTATATGAATCCTCCATGGAGGTTTGGTGCTTTCCTTCATAGACATAGATTTGACCCATAGACATAGACTTGACATAGAAAATAGTGAACAGTGGTTTTAAAACTCAACTACATTTATCAGAAGGACCTTTGCAATTGGCAGGTTTACAGATTTTTTTTTTTTAAACACTATTGCTTTCATCTTAATCATCTGCCCAAAAGTGCCAACCATCAAGGAGAGGCTCATATCAATCAATTATTTTTCTATTTGTTATTTCCTGAAAGATCAATTAATTTCAGCATACACAGGTATGCATCTCCCATGTGCTGGGCAATAGAAATAGAAAGATAATTAATTAGAAATTTTGTTTTTCTTTTTTTTCTTTTGCTTAAACAATTTTTACTGTTTTTCTATTTCTTTAAGTGATTATAAAACTCGATGAAAACTAGATGGTCATATAAAAACACTTAGTTCATTATAAGCTAATAATCATCATGTTTT